ATACCGTCTAGTTAACTAACCAGGGCCACGCGTGGACGGAGCCAGTGCACCTTACAAATGGCTTGAATCTTAGAAGACAGTGGAGAATGCCCTGGGAATTAATCTCATGGCTTAGAAATTATAAAGATGGGACACTGAAAATGCATTAAGTTCGGTTCAGTGTGAGGCCATAATGCTTAAAAAATGAAAATGGAATGCGCAAGTAAGAGCTGTGTTCTTCGGGTAAAGTGCTAGCAATTAAAATGTCATTGAAGTAAACGAAAACAAAGTCAAGACCTTGAGTTACTTGTGCACTGATAGATGTGTGAAAATCCTTCTCCTGAAGCCCAACCATTCCACTTTGGTTCCAAATTTTGTAAATTTCACGCTGCATTCACCTAACACCATCCGCCTCATATAAAAATTGTGATGGTTTTTTACAGCTTTTGTACATACTGCTTTTCTAATTCCATTATCTTCGTTTTCTCATCTTTTCCTTCTCTTTTATGAACTCAAAACGTAACATTTGTTTTAGCTTGCTTCCTGATTACTCACTCCGTATTTTTGTATTCTGGGCCCGTGATTTGCGCTATAGTTTGTTGTTCTGTAACTGGGACCTACGATGCTTTCGTGAATCGCAAATATGTGGGCATTGTATGGAGCTCTTCAGGCCGCGTGCCCATACACTATTCCGTCAGTGCTCTTTCACCCACAGGGTCATTCTCCTTTGAATGGCCTCCAACAAGAAGTAGTTAATGCCCCATAAGATCCGCTTTCAAAATGAATCTTGGTCTAATCCCTGAACAGTAAACATCTCCCCGCCCCATAGTGTTATTCATAGTATTTTTTCCTGTACTTTCCGATTTCTTGCACTGCATGCAGGTACTGCACCCCTCCCCCTTCCTCTCACCTCATTTCAGGTGACCTTCCTGTACAAATAGGACGCGAAATCACTTTAATTTCCTAACATCAGCCACAGTGGAACCTTGTCCGTGCCTGGCTCATCGGGATATAGGTCCAGAAGAAACCTTGGCAACTACTAAGATCCGAAAATGTTGGGCCTAGCCTCGCACTCGTGTAATACTTCAAGACTTCAATACTTGTATTGATGTATGCACATAATAGAAAAGAAATTTCAATTGTCGTTCAAGTTTTTTCCTACGTGCTGGAAATATGGTCAATGGAAGTCAGGTCAAGTTAGGTCAGGTCACAGGACTAGCGGCTGATGCCAAACGAGTGTCCAGTTTCTTGCGCAATCGAGCCCCAATGTTCTCGATGCGCTTCGACAGATTTTGGAATTCTCGCCTCACTGAGCGGTATTTTCTTTAGTACAATCCAGTAGGGGCCACTTGAACGTTTATCTGGAAAAAATTGGTGAGCATGCAACACGAAAAAGACAGACTCTATTCACCTTAGCCTACGCATGGTTACCCTCGCCCGTGATAGCGTGTCACCTTACTCACACCACCTGACGTACTTGTACCTCCAGCCACGAATAAGTTCAATCATACTCAAACACACCTCCATACCTTCCGTACGCCCATGCAGTCCTGTGCCTATATTAGTGTACACTGGTAACTATCCTATCTGGTCTTAGAACGAGAACGATAGTTCGACGCTGAGTGCTTGGCGAACGCTCTGAATTAACTCACATATGTCATAAACAGGGTACGAGTAGCCCAACCAAGTCTCGTTTGGTCACTACCTAGTCTCTCATGCGGTGGGGTAGTCACCTGGTTTTTCAGGCTGGATCAGTTGGAGTTTGTGAAGGAGGATTTATGGGACCCTGATCCCAAACAACAATCAAGTAATCATTATTACGTGAACATCATTCGTCATAGAGTGAAAAAGAGTTAAGATGAGTTCGAGGGACATAGGTCAGCTTCCGAACCGGGCACCACTCGATCAAGAGAGCTTTGGCTTCCTCGGCATACTCTTCAGCTAGGTGGAGAAAACGTTACCCGATGGCATTGCGCTTAAGGTTTATGGTACTATAACCACCAGATGTTGTAGCGATTCTTCAACCGACAGTTTCGCAACGGCAGTTTTCTTTTCTTGCCTCTTTTTGTTCTCCAAGTTCCCTGATAGATCCATTCAAGCTGGCCGTGAGCATCAAATCACGTATCAGAAGCCTACACTACCTACACTGGTGATTAGCAACAGGACGGGTTCAGTTTCAAACCCGGTATGAATAACTGAGGGTTATGAAGGCATGGTTACATAACCGTGGCATATCTATCAGAGCCATCAAGGTTCAGATATAAAGTAGCTATTTAGCCTCTCGATCAGGTAGCTAAAACTACCGCTATGGTTTTTCCTTCTAACTTAAGGATTCTTCTCCAGCGGACACAATCAAGTGTACCATCGAGATTTAGCATTTATCGCCATTAGTTGGCGATAGCTAGCCTCCGGAGAAAGTTTCTTTATTGAATATAGCAACTTCGATATTTCCAGCATTAAGTTTTGCTTTAACTATCATCGTTCTTTTAATGAACTCGAGAAGCTTGCACCGACACAATGCCCCACGGTGAGATCTGCATTGCACGCTTTCATTGCATTGATTAGATCCACTTTCAGATTTCCGCTGTCTTTGATTAAATAACGGCCTAGGCCTAACCAAACCTACTTCCGACCTTCCGGATGATTCAGAATATAGCGTTTTTTTACAAACCCAATCCTTGACTCTGTTTCCCCTTGGGACGGATATTCAAAACGAACGGGAGGAAACAAAAGTGACAGGTTCTGACAAACATCAGCAACCATGAAGTCACTAAAATGAAGTGTAAAAACGCGTATCGTTTTCGTTTGGGGCAGCATAGCAGATGCCATTGCTGTTCACCCATATGAACCATTTATTTTTGGTTCTCCCCCTGCCTGTATGGCTGGTTTGCTACTGAGCGCCACCATTTGCTCCTGCGATCCGTATGATTTAGGGTGCGTCTTACAGTACCAACTCTAGGAGTCGTCGCCGCCTATCTCTCTCGGTTGTAGATGTAATGTTTTCCTTAGGATCGTCCTGTATAGATTTGTTGATAAGGTGTTAGTTTCCTTGATGAAATAGAGGAGGAAGAGAAGAAACTTCTATAGTGCAGAGGACAAGGGAGAATGGTGAAAACGTGTAACAGCCTCCTTCATCCTCCCTGAAGCCATACTGTCAGATTATGTAGTCCACATGCACTCAAGTACTGATCCTGAGCATGTGTCCGCCTGGGCCCGTTGTCCGCCTACCCTGTATAATAGTGCTTTTGTGGTTGCCGCACACCGAACAGTCTGCTGTCTTTCCACCAGGGACATTCAGGTCTTTTTCAGTGTATACACACGGACATGCATGCATGCCTACACACTATTTGTCCTGTTTGATCCAATTTATACAGCTTCCGGAAAAGGTTCGGTCCACATTGCATCTAGGCGACCCTTGAACTCCTCAACTGAGGCTGCTGAAACAACCGAGGCTGGTAACTTGTTCCAAGGGTTGTTAACCTTATGAGCGAAGAAGTTCTCGGTAGCTGGTGTAGCGCTCTGTTTGCTTTCGTCGCCGGTAGAAGACATTGCTTTGCTGGTTTGCAGGTCTCGTGTATGAGCACTCCCAGACCCCTCATCTGCTCTGTTTTAGTTATTTCCTGAGGGTTATCCAGGTTAAGTACTATTATTGGTATATGTAGTATCTTTATGACCACACTAACAGATGGCGTTGTCTTCTAGTGCCTCCTGAACGAAATTTGGCACAAACATTATAACTACTTGTAAGTAATGTGATTTCCAAAAATCGTGAATCTCTTTGTGGTGATTGCTCATAAACTATGAACGATGAATCATATGCATCTGTCATTTTCATTCATGTCTGACTTCCATCAACCACACCTTTTTCACTTAGTACTTGAATGTTCTAAGGTAAATGGCGGAATCAAAATGACTCCTGTGAGTTTCGAAGTAACCGGTTCTCCGGTGTTTATAAAACGTCGGATTATCCAACTTGGATTTCTTGAGCCCGTAAAAAAGGTATTAGAGGAAATGGTAAGCAAGGGAGTTCTGACACCCGTAAATTCTTCGGCTTGGGCCACGCCAATTGTTACTTCACTAAAACGTGACGGGAATACTCCTAGGATATGTGGGGATTATCGAGTCACTGTGAACGGACAGCTGAAACAGTCCAGTTGTGCCACCGTCGAACCAGAAGACATTCTGCTCTAACTTCATGGATCCAAATTTTTCTCTAGTCTAGACATTAAAGGTGCATTTCTTCAAATTCCTCTTGATGAAAAGTATCGGGAACTCACGACTATTAACACGCGTTTTGGTTTATCTGGTTACAATTTTCTACCGTTTGGACTCAGTGTCTCCCCCGCAATCTTTCATACTACTATTAATTCAATCAGTTCTGGCTTACAAGGGGTATATGCCTCTCAGGACGATATTATTGTTCATGCGCCTCTCAGACACTTAGGTGACGAACGTGTGTGCTTTGCTTGAAAGATTTCGTTCTCATAATGTTTCTATTAACCCTGATAAATGTGCCTTTGCTACGACTAAACTTTCTTGTTTGGGTTATTTGGCTGATGATTCCGGATTCCGTCTTGAACCTGATCGATTTTCTTCGTTGACTAATGCTCCATCTCCCAATTCATTCCATGAACTTCGTTCTTTAATTGGTTCTTTACAATACCATTCCAAGTTTATTCCCAACTTTTCAACCCAAGCTGCTCCATTGTTCGATTTACAGTCACAGCAAACATTTCAGTGGACTTCGGTCCATGAACGTACTTTGAGGAAGTTACTTTCCTTTTTATCTACCAGTGCTGTTTTACGTCATTTTTCCCCACCATTATATTCTACCGTCATCATAGACGCATCGCCCGTTGGAATTGGAGCAGAATAATCATCTGGTGCTGCGCATCTCACGGCTGCCGAACGTGGGTATTCCCAAACTCAACGAGAAGCTCTAGCTGTCTATTGGGCTGGCACGCGTACGCACAAGTATCTTTATGGTACTCATTTCACTATTTTGAGTGATCATGAAGCCTTGCAATTCATTTACAACTCTCAATGTTCCCTGGCTGAGTCATCTGCAGCCATGGTACAACGACGGAGTATTGCGTTGTCTGCCTATTCCTACGACATCCACTATCGCAGCGCGCAATCCACATGCAGACTATCTATCACGCCACGCCATTTCGGAGCAGGCTTCTACGGCTGATTGTCTACTCATTCAACCGCTCCCGGTAAGCCGATTTAATCCAGTTCGCGAGACCAGGAAATGTTACCGCGCTATCATTTCTTGTGTCCGTCGAGGTTGGCGAGGTGATATCAAGCGTCGAGTTCCGGAATTCNAGACTATCTATCACGCCACGCCATTTCAGAGCAGGCTTCTACGGCCGATTGTCTACTCATTCAACCGCTCCCGGTAAGCCGATCTAATCTATTTCGCGAGACCAGGAAATGTTACCGCGCTATCATTTCTTGTGTCCGTCGAGGTTGGCGAGGTGATATCAAGCGTCGAGTTCCGGAATTCTATAAACGTCGTAAGGAAATTTCTGTGACGTGTGATGATGTCGTGTGCTACAATGATCGCATTATCGTACCTCCGACATTACGTACTGCTGTTCGCAATGACTTACATTCCAGTCCTCTCGGCATTGAAAAGATGAAATCTCTTGTTCGTCTCAAATGCTGGTGGCCTGAATTGAATCATAATCTGAATTGTGTTGCAAAATCCTGTGCTGCTTGTGTGCACAAAACTCATAGACAGCCTTCGAAATGGACTCAGTGGCCAGTATCTTTCGAGTCATGGTAAAGAATACATGTGGATTACTGTGGTCCATTCTTCAACAAGTATTACGCATTGATGATCGTCGATTCCTACTCCCGTTGGCCAGAAGTGTACTTTACCACAACTCCCAGTTAAGAAGTTACTATTCGAGCACTCAGGAAAACGTTCAGTAGAGAAGGTGTCCCGCATGCTTTCGTGACTGACAATGGAAGTCATTTCACTGCCAAGAAAGTTACCGATTGGTTGAACTCCGTGAGTTGTCGGCATGTTCTCACTCCACCCCGACATCCGCAATCCAATGGCACAACCGAAAACTTTGTGCGCACGCCGAAGAGTGTCATTGCTTCTTTGAATCCCAGCACATTCGATGCACTGGACAGAGGCGTTGATAACTTTCTGATGCAATACAGTAACGCAGTACATTCAACTACGAGACAGTCCAGCAAAGCTGTTTAAGAGTCGAGTACTTCGAACAAATCTACATTTGGAGTCTGCGGAAGTCGTGTATCGTCGTGATAACGATCTACAACCCTCCAGGGGCATTGTACCAGAATACGGGACAAAGAGTATGTCTCATATTGGATCTAGACAATGGCACTGTACATCACAGACATGTAGACCAAGTAATTTGTAATTTGCCCAATCCTGATACTAGTTGTGAACTTACTAATCCTCTTATTTCTGAGTCTTTTCCAGAGGAATTACATCCCAGTACAAATGTCGAAAACAGTACAGAAGAACCTAGAAGATCTGAACGATTACTGAACAAAGCCCGCTGTGATTACAGAAAACTGGAGCTTCATTCAAGCTGCGGTGACTGCTCATGAACTATGAACTCTTTTGTTTTATTGAACACGATATCATTGTGCATTCCGAATTTCCGCTCATTACAGTTCCATTCCGTCGCTGAGTTCTATCTTCTGATTTCATTTCGAGTCCCAGTTCTGGGGACTATTACTGCGCGGAATCCGACACGTATACGAATTACTAGCCCGAGTGCAAACCACAGCATTCTTATAAAAACTAGTATAAAAATATTAATTATTATCACATCGAAGGAATACAACCAACAAAAACATTGCATAGTTCAATAGGGATACAATTCACTAATGTGACCCAAAGATGTTTCCATATCAGTAGGGAATATTTCGGACGAAAAATCGAACTACATTTGATGTAGAACCTCATCGAAGTGATCCCATATCATCTCTCCAACGGACCGGTACACGTTCTTTAATCGGTGATTTATCCTACTTCAGAAAGAATCCACATTATTAGTATGAACGCCGGTCGTGCGATATGCAAATCCGTCAGAAAGATTAACCCACTGCTATTGATGTGCGTATTTGCCCTTCGTGCATTGAAAAGTACATCCGTCAATGCAAGCCTGCAAATGCATAACGTGGCTGCAAACGCAGTTTCGTTCCTTTTTTACGAAACCCTCATCAACATGCTTTCATGGTCACAATTTTAAACAAATATGCCTCGAGGAAATATTTGTGATAACCAACAAAGAGCACTGGACAGCTGTTTCGTCCTGTTTGGGACTCGTCAGCAGTGCGTACGTTTTTTGTCCCTGTCGACTCGCGAATTGTGATCAGTCGGTTCGGAAATTCAAACCCTTACCCCTGAGCTACACGGCCGACGGTTATCACCTTGTGCGAATGACCCAATCATCAAGAGTGCCTGGTGCCTCTGAACAATCGGATGGGCTAATCCAAGCTTGATATGCCTCAAATCCACCTTTATCCACGAGTGGCACAATGCAACTAAATGCATGTAAAGGATCATTAAAATTATTTGCGAACAACATACAACTATTATTCTTTCATGGTAATGTCCAACTAAAAAATACAGGAGTGGGGTAACATTTGACACCTCCACCCACTACTGAACATTGTGTGACAAATTCCTAAAATAGGGGTGTGGAAGTGGCACCTTTACTAGCAGGAAATTTGCACCCATTTCGGCATTGGCTTTAATGAAAATTGCATCGCATGGCCGCAGACACAAACACCCTCTGGCTTTATTCTGTCTTGCATTTACTACATGCACGCTTGACCATGTAACCTGCGTCCTGTCGGAACTGGTCGACAACACTTCAAATACCCAAAAGTTCCGTTACATTACTTATATATTGCACACGAATGAGTCATCCTAACAAGTCATAGAATTAAAAAACAGTAACTGTAAGGAACATTACTGTTACAAATAAGGAAACTACCCAGGTAGCACGTTGTTGGCTAATGGCGCACTAGTAGCCGGCTGCATTTGAGCTACGGCACCAAAATTGTAGCGCATTTGTAGGTCGTTAGTTGACTAACAGCGCACGAATAGCCGGCTACAATGAGCTACATTGGAGAACATCCAGCTTTTAGTTTTCCACCTTAAGGCGATCAATTTTCCGGCCTCTAATTCCTATTAACTCCATAGTTTCTTATGAATTAACTATTTTGCCATAGACTTCAGCATATTTTGCACACCGATTAGAACGCAAGTGATCCTGCAATAAACACACTGAAAATAAGGATTATTCGATGGAATTATTCATCAAATGAGTCTAAACAGATAACAGTCATGATAAGTGCATTTTAAAGGTTAATTACCGTTGAATAACAAATGTAGCTGATGTAACTCATAAGTAGCTCTTTGTAACCGACCGATGCGCTACATTTTGCTACCTGGGTAGAGGGCAAAGAAACGGATAACTTCCGCCCACGACTTTTACTCGTCGATTTGATATTTTCGTAGCTCGGTATACAGTTCTGGAAAATCGATGTTCAATATGAGAACATGTATAGTGTTCACGATCCAGTGACCGGTAAATGCAGGTGAATGATGCCAAACATGGAGCAGAAGTAATTATTTCGACCAAAACTAAGTGAACACTAGGTAGTTTAGCTGTAAACAGCATTTGCAACTAAAATTGATACCATAAGGATTACGGCAAAGGTCAGTAGCTTTCTAACTTGCGATATCAAGAGCGCAATGTACTAATGTTGCAGCTCACTGAAGATGAAATTTGTGCTAGAAGTCTCAATAACGACGGTGGTGTTAAAACGCCTCCCATTAATTTAGAAGATGATGCTCTCTCGAAAATAACATTGTTAGATAATATCCTTGAGTCTTCGCGAACTCATGAAGAACGTTCTGAATGATCTGATTGAGAAGAGTGTAATGACACGCCTAAGTTCACCGACATGGGCTAATCTTAACGTGATTTCGCTGAAGTGTGATGATGGTCACATTTCTTCTGTTTGATAAAACATCCTAAAGTTAAGAATACCGGATCACAGTGGGGGGTAATCGTAGTAGACAAATTGTTTCGCCGTTCAGTCCACATGCGGGCTTAAATAATTTCACAGTTTCCAGTACTTTGACCCATGGGGTGCTTTTCTCTAGGTACCACTAAATGAGAAGTCTTTTGAAGTGATTTCTATCAATCCACTCGAACTATTTTCCATTACTTTTAGTGTGGCCCGGTATATTTTTTAGAGCGTTACAAATTCCTATCGGGATGATGTAGTCATACAGACACCCACGAAATGATTACATGACAAATGTTTAGGCATATTATTTAATCGCTTCTATGCACATAGTGTTGTTATTGCTGCAGATAAGTGTAATTTTTTTTTTACCCGAATGTACCTGTTTGGGGTTTCCTTGTTGAAGAACCTGGTTTCCGTTCGCGTCATATTCGACGTTCTTCTTTATCGAACGGAAAAAAGTATTGAGTGACTGAGTCAACATTCAGACACTGAGAGATCGGAGAAAAAACTGACGAGAAGCACAGCAGCCCACTCTACCGCAAGAACGAGAAACCAAGTTGAATACTGACGAGTGAGTTGCATAGGTAATGAATTATTGT